TATAAAAGTTAAAGGGCAAGTTTAGGACCAAAATTATCTTTATGATAAATTTTGTAGAAAAGTTGAATCCAGAAGATAAAAGTTTGAATGGTCAGAAATTTTTGAAGTTTTTTTTTGAAACTAGGACCCCAGATACTCCATGACACTGGCAGGAAATTTTTTGCCTGTGTGACATGGCTAAAACATTTCCGAGCAGTGTGACATGGTCAAAACATTTTTCAGCAATGTGACATGGCTCAAACATTTCTTAGCAGTGTGACATGACCAAAACATTTTTCAGCAGTGCGACATAGCTAAAACATTTCCAACTAGCTGAAACACTTCAAATATTTCCGACCACTCTAACATGCTTCAAACATTTCCAACCAGTCTGAAACACTTCAAATATTTCCGACCACTCTAACATGCTTCAAACATTTCCAACCACTTTCAGATGGCTAGGATATTTTTCAATGCAATATATCAACCCAAATATTTCCGGTCACAATATTGAAGGTCAAACATTTTTGCCCAATGCAATAATATATTTTCCTCCAGAGGCAAAAAAATAAACGGCCAAGGAACCTATTAGCCTGGATATATACCTATATGTTTCAAGGCTAATAGCTTGTTCAAGGTGGGTGACTGAAGTGAAATATAGCCAGAAAATTACAATAAAATATAAGAAACATTAAAGAAAATATTAGATGGTAGTCACTATTGGTTATGATGTTGCAGAGCTAAAATCAGAGTAAATAAGGCAAGATTACTATTTTAAATGAAAGTCATTTAGAAAATGTGGTAAAAATGAGAAAAAATAGGACTTGTTGTTGGGTACTGTTGTATATCTAAAAAAGAAATTTCAAGTATTTGTAATAGAGAGATCAGAATTCTAAGAGATTCTAACCATTCCTGCAGAAATAGGTAGGGCACAGTAAAGTACTAGTAGTCAGCATGTCATTATGGTCAACAGATATGAATACATCATATCATATTATACATATTTATAACTTCAGACACTGACAATCCTCAGAGCTCTCTGCAGTGCTCAGAAATATACCTCTATAAAAGTGAAAAGAAAAACAAGCTGGCATAGTCAATATAACAGTTCCTGAAGTCTCTCTAGTCTTCAGGAACATACTTCAGTGAAGAAATATGGCTTACACATCAGTAATAATTCAGTAAAGTAAGGCTAGTCTATTATAGATAGTTATTAATATACACTCAACATAAAAGTAGTCAGTAACAACCTTTATTATCTGATAGAGCAGAATTTAGAGGCTATAACTATATAACAAATAGCTTATTACCAATAGATAGAGCTGAATGCAATATATAATCTGGTTTTTCTATAATAAAAATACAATATAAAATAAAAGGGCAAGTTTAGGACCAAAATGATCTTTATCATAAATTTTGTAGAAAAGTTGAATCCAGAAAATAAAAGTTTGAATGGTCAGAAATTTTTGAAGTTTTTTTTTTGAAACTAGGACCCCAGATACTCCATGACACTGGCAGGAAATTTTTTGCCTATGTGACATGGCTTAAACATTTCCGAGCAGTGTGACATGGTCAAAAGATTTTTAAGCAGTGTGACATGGCAAAAAAATTTCTTAGCAGTGTGATATGACTCAAACATTTTTCAGCAGTGTCACACAGCTAAAAAAATTCCTACCAGTTTGAAACACTTCAAAAATTTCTTACCAGTCTGACACCCTTCAAATATTTCTGACCACTTTCACTTGACTAGGATATTTTTGAACACAATTTATCTACCCAAATATTTCTAGTCACAATATTAGAGGTCAAACATTTTCTATCAAATCCAATAATATATTTTGTTCCAAAGGCCAAAAAAAACCAGCCAGAGGATCTATTAGCCTGGATAATTTTTCAGGATTTCCTAGCTAATAGCTTGGTCAAGGTGGGTGACTGAAGTGCAATGATATCAGTCAAGTAGCTAATGAAATTTCCAATGATATTGCCCAACTAAGCTAATGAAAATTGCAATGATATTGCCCAGGTGCCTAATGAAATTCCCAATGATATTGCCCAAGTGGCTAATGAAATTTCCAATGATAACTTCCAAATGGCTACTGAAAATCGCAATGATATTGGTCAAGTAGCTAATGAAATTTCCAATGATATTGCCCAAGTGGCTAATGAAAATCGCAATGATATTGACCAGGTACATAATGAGATGGAGGTCTAAGGCCTTGCCTACAATTAATGAAAAAAGCGCAGGCTTTATGATAATGAAAAGACATGGCAACTGGAATGATTCCCTATCATAAAGACTGTGGACTTATACACAATGACCTCTAGGCAGTTACCTTATTTATATGATAAAAGTGGTAGCCACCAGTCCACTGGGCCTGGTGATTTTGCACCTAGTGGTGGGTGTATCATCTTTGATTTCAATTATCTGGGGAGAAGTCAGTCTAAATGACACTTGGGATGGCCCTACAGTCTGTGCTAGCTCTGGGACATGTGGAACTTGGCTGCTTAAATGTAGACATTAGAACTTGAGGTGTTTCCTGTTGAATGTGAATAAACAGCTTACACCAACTCCATAGCTTCAATGAGCTGCTGAATCTTTCCCTTGGGTAATGCTTCGCCAATATGAAGGCCCTCGACACACGCCTTCACCCAATCATACATCCCATCCATCCCAAATCGACCCTGTCAAATGATTGTCGAAAGACTTTCTGGTGTTGCTCTGTAGCTGACAAACCAATTTAGTACTTGATCTAAAACTTCCCAAGGCTTGTTGTCTGGATCAATCAGTGCCACCGGATTCCCTGAAAATGCAGCTAAGTCCTCGGAATTGATCCCAATAGGTATGACGAGGGGAAGAGCATTGATAGCTGCTTTAAACCTGTTAAGTAGTGTTATGTGAGTGCTTGAGACTTCTCCGAGTGTAATCGGGTGCGGATCATTTGACAAAGGAGCAAGTCGAACAGGTCCTCGATTTGGTATGGTGGGGAAAAGATGAATGGGAGTAAGGGATGTACTGGTTGAACTGGAGGCAGTAGGTGTCACCTTCTTGGTGAAAAATGAACTGATTTTTGTGGTCAGAATGGCTGCAGCTTTGCAGACATTTGTCTTATGAGCAGTGCTATCGACGTGTTTGGTCCAGTCCTTCTCGCTGGCAAAGCTGAGTCCTAGAGTGATATTGCACTCTGGACACCATCAAGTGCTTGATGTGTCATGCTTGGATGGTTCCTATTGATAGTTATTAATGGTTGGGCAAACCCTGTAAGTGGACATACCTTTTGGGGCCTTTTTGATTTTGGCATGGCAGATAGATGGTGGTGGTATGATGAGGGTACCCATATATCTGAAAAAATAATTGAGACATGGCAGAATGGAAGTAAATGTGTATGGACTCACCCATGCAACATGCTGCAATGCCAAAGCATAGCACAAAATCTGCTTGCAGACCATTGAGCTTCCGAAAGTTAGCACAAATTGGACATTTAGCAGGAGGAGGAGGCAGGCCAAAGGTAAGCGCTCACGTTAGAATGACAATGGCAGTGTGAACACAGTTTGTTGAACTGGGCTGACCCAGCCACTGATGTCAGATGCACCAAACATGGACAAAATATGAAGCCAACAGCTCTCTGTGCCCCTATGTGGCCCCTACACTCATAAGAACTAGATAGATTGAGATACAGCAACTTTCTGGAGTCTCATAAGGTGAAATAGTCAATAATTTTTTTAAATTTAGATAAGCACCTCAACCTACCACCCCCCTCCCTACCCCATATGTCAGCAATTGCTGGTGCATACCCCTTGGAGAAATGGGATGCCAATTCCACTTGAGGGAGGTTGCACATGTGTAAACATGTGTCTACAAAAATGAATTTATGCACAGTGAGTAAAAAGCACCAGAACTCATGCACAAGAGGGGGTACATACTAACAGAGCACGCTAGGCTGGGTGCCCTTGAAGCAGGAAAACATGTTAGAAGCAAAAAAAAGCATGCTTGAAGCAAAAAAAGCACTTTATTAAAACACAAAAAGGGCGTGAACGATGATATACACTAACTGGGCAAAAAGAATGTCACATCATTTTTTGGACAAAGTTAGTTCTGTAACACAAGAACAAAACATTTTGAGAACTACACTCTGGTGTATGAAACATAGCTAAAAAGGTGTATATTGTACATACCAAGGCTGGGGATGAACAATTGAAAACTCAGGATAAGGCAGGGAATTGACTGTGACAAGTGCCAAAAATGGGATGTAACAAAGTGGGAAATTCTGAATGACTGCAACCTACTGAAAGCAATTCACAACTTGAGGAAGAGATATTATGAATGCTGGATCTCCCTGCTATTGTTATAAGCTTCATAGAGTCTCTGGGCTAGAAAATTTTATATCCTCCTCTAAAGGGTAAATTTGAACTTGTTCTCCATTTTATGTATTTTTCACTCAATATATTTGTTGGAATGAGGTAAAATGACTCCCCATCAATGTTTGTAGTGTGTATAATACAAAAGGTAGGTAGAAATGTTAAAATAAACATTGCATGATGTCTGTAGAAGCTGATTCCCAGAGTTTGTCTGGAAGTAAACAAGTATCTACAACATTGGTCCTTCTTTTCTGCAAGAAGAAAAAATGCTACCATCCTTTTGAATGA